ATAATGTTATATGAGCAAAATTGCTCTTGAGATTCAGATCGTATATCGCACCTCAGTTGTGCTTGAGTTTGTTGCTTATGGCACTATATGTCTCCCCAGGGACGGTATTATGCACTTAGCGTGTTGGTGACCGATATTCGGCATTTTGTTGTAATGAGCAATTTAGCTCGATGTATATTTCCTTATGTGAAATCTATGTGTGGATCGGGTGGCACGCCGCCATGGGTATGTTATTTGGATCGAGTTGCACATTGCAACAGCGAGACGTTGAGTACAGTTCCCCCGTGTCTGTATTATGTGTTTTCTTTCCTCCTTTCCTGGAGGAACTTATATTAGCTGTGTGCCCGCGTCGCATGCATGATTTGCGAGCGGGGTGTCTGTTTAATTATGTTGACCGCGTCGCATGTATGATTCGCGAGCTGGGTAATTGGATCTCCTTTTCGGAGTTCATTTTCCTATTGTATCGCGTTCGAATTGGTAGCCTATTGGCACGTTGTGGTATCATATGAGACTTTTGACCATGTCCGGGGGTGGCTGTTGCCTGAGCAGTTCGTACTGGGTGAGACAAGATCATTGGACTTAGGATCAGTGAAATCTAAATATGTGAAGTATATTAAAGAGTAAAGGCCATTATTTGGTTCAGAAAGAGGTGATGGTTCTTGGCAGGGTATAGACCCTATGAATCATTGACTCGGCAGTTGATTATGAATTTCTACACATCCCTTCCGTCGTGGCGGCATTGCGAAAGTTGGAACAGGACTTATATATGTCATGGGGTGCATTGTGATCATCAGATTCGGGAAATGTTGACTATTATGATCAGAGAGTATTATTATAGTCTTGTGAATGATGGGGTGCATGGTGTGAAATCAACAAGGGTGTGCAATCATGTTTTTGGTACAGCGTCTGGTGATTGATACGGTGAGCATATGTTGGAACAGGCCTGGTAGAGAATTCCAGATGATGGAATTGGGCTCCAAGGCTTATTTTCTTAAGTGAAAAAAAAAATATCTTCAGATTGACCGAGCTAGGGTGCCTAGCTGAGTAATGGTAGCACGGGTAGGTGCACGAGGCAGTAAGCAGTGATTCCAGACAACCCCAGCACAATTCCTAGCACGTTCGAGGACGAACGTATGTTTAAGTGGGAGAGGATGTAACGACCCGACCGGTCGTTTTGAGACCTAGCACGCTGTTCAGCAGTTCGAGGCCATGAGCAGCTTCAGTTCAGGCATTTTGACTTGTACGCGTGGTCGGAATTAAATTTCGGAAAGTTCGGAGTTTACTTGGAGAGGAAATTCTCATTTCAGAAGCTTTAAGTTGAAAGAATTAGCTAAGATCGGATTTTTGAGTAAACGACCTCGGAATCAGGATTCAAAGGTTCCAGCAGGTTCGTATGATGATTTCGGACTTGGGCGTATGTCTGGGTCGGGTTTTGGATGACCCGGGAGTGTTTTGGCGCCTATTGTGGAAGTTAGCATTTTGGAAGAAATTTTTATATGTCTGGGTTGAAGTGCATTTTAGTGTTACCGATTTCCGTTTGGGATTCCAAGTCAGGGAGTAGCTCCGTATGGTGATTCTGGAGTTGGGAGCGCGATCGGAAGTGAATTCGAAGGTCCGTGGGTCATTTTGGAGTCATTTGGCTAAAGATAGAAAATTGAAGGTTTTTGAGAAGTTTGACCGGAAGTGAACTTTTTGATATCGGGGTCGGAATCCTATTCCGGAAGTTGGAGTAGGTCCGTAATGTCGAATATGACTTGTGCGCAAACTTTGAAGTCAACCGAACGTGATTTGATAGGTTTAAACACCGAAAGTAGAAGTTTGAAATTTTAAAGTTCATAAAGCTTGGATTGGAGGTCGATTCGTGGTTTTAGCGTTGTTTGATATGATTTGAGGCCTCGAGCAAGTCCGTAATGTGTTTTGGGACTGGTTGGTATGATTGGTTGGTCTTGGGGGCCTCGGGTGGATTCCGGGTGGTTAACAGAAAATGGAATTTTTGGAAGGCTGAAGTTGCTGGTGTAACCGCACTTGCGAGAATAGGGCCGCAGGTGCGGAGCCGCAGAAGCGGCCCAATAGTAGCAGATGCGGTTTTGGCAAAAGAGAGCTGGGACCGCAGATGCGGTCGTTTGGCCGCAGAAGCGGGACCGCATATGCGGGAATAGAAACGCAGAAGCGGAAAAGGGGAGCCTGGAGGAAACCACAGAAGCGGTGGTTTGGCTCGCACCTGCGGAACCGCTGAAGCGGTCAAGGGACAGCAGGTGCGAAAAATGCTGGAGGCAGAGATGTGTTTTAAAAATCGGGATTTGGCCATTTTCTCTCATATTTTCTTGGCTTGGGCGATTTTTGGGAGAGCTTCAAGTGGTATTTTTCATCATCAACGATAAGGTAAGCTAATCCCATCCGTCTTGAGTTAAATACATTGATTATGTATGGATTTTTAGCATGTAAATTGGTAGAAATTTGGGGTTTTGGTAGAAAGACCTAGAAATTTTTATTCTTGGAATTTGACCACGATTTTGGGTATGGAATTAAGAGAAAATTATATATTTGAGTTCGTGAGGCTATGGGTAAACTTATTTTTCGAAAATTTTGGAAATTCGGGCATGTGGGCCCGAGGGCGTTTTTGTCAACTTTCCGTTCGGGGTTAGGAATTATTATAAATTGGATTAATATGAGTAGTTTATCGTATATTAATGGATTATTGGCTAGTTTTGGAGCGTTGTGCATCGATTTGAGTTTTCGGAAGGGCGTGGAAGGCCAGTTATGGATCTTCGGAGCGAGGTGAGTCTCCTTTCTAACCTTGTGAGAGGAAATTGTCCCCATAGGTGAAATAATCTGTTATGTGCTCCTATTTGTGGGGGCTACATACGCACGAGATGACGAGAGTCCGTGCGTAGCTAATATTATGTTATTGTCCGGGTAGTCTAGGACCCAAAAGCATGCTGTACTTGGAATACTTGTAATGTTATTGACAGTATGAATTGCTGAAATCCTATCAAATTGGTAAATAAATTTCTAAGAGAATTAAAATTTATTCCTTAAGTCATTAAAAGGGAATTGGCTTCTAATGGGATGAATATTCCCCATAAAATTCTTAATTTGCTGTTGAGCATGTGTTTCTATGTGTACCTGCGTCGCATGTATGGTACGCGAGCAGGGTGATTGTTTACTTAAATTTGACCGCATCACATGAATGATTCGCGAGCGGGGTAATAGATGCATCTACGGTTCGGGCCGCTCGACCCTCGGCCGTGCATATTTTAAATATTGTTGGATCGGGCCGTACGACCTCGACATGAGTTGCGCATGCTTGTATTGCTTGCTTTGACATTTGTTGATACTAATATCTGCTCTCCCGACTTGAGATAATGTTAGTTGAAGGATTATGAATCCGGAGGCTTTTATTAAAAAGGAACTCTTTACCTGTGTAGTAACTCATTTGAATCTACTGTTGTCCTCAATAAATTTGTGAGATCACCGCTTTAATAATATTATTATATGACCATTGGTAAGTGTCGAAGTTGCCATCTCGTCTCTACTTCTTCGAGATTAGGCGGGACACTTACTGAGTACACGTTGTTTTCGTACTCATACTACACTTCTGTGCATTTTTGTTGCACATGCACATGTACTACTAGTGGCCTACTGGGCGTAGCAGCATGGATGATACTGGGACTAGGTGAGTTGCATTACTCGAGGCGACCCGCAGCTAGTATAGTCCCTTCCAATATATTGCATTTACTTTCTGTCCATTTGTATTCCAGACGGATGTTGTATTGTACTGTTTCTTAGAAATAGCTCATGCACTTGTGACACCGGGTTCTGGGGATGTCTATGGGTTTATTTAGAAACCTTAAAAAGTGGTTAAATGCTTCACTATTTATTCAATGGAATTTATTATGTATTGCTTAAACGTATAAAAGGAGTGGTTTTGGGAATATTTAAACAAGAATTTAATTAAGTAATTCGGTTGGCTTGCCTGACAGCGGCGTCCGGCGCCATCACGACCCTTAGTGGATTTTGGGTCGTGACATATTTGATATTAGGTTTGTTAAAGACATCAATATTTAATCAGTAAAATTTATTATTTATTATTTAATGTATAAAGAAATGATTTCACTAACTACAAAAATGAGAATTTAATAATTTCTTGGTGTTGGCTTGCCTGACAGAGGTGTCCGGCGCCATCACGTCCCTTAGTGGATTTTTGGGTCATGACAATGAAAATAAATTTATATATGTAAGGAGTTCTGTCGACTTGAAAAAATAAAAATCTGTATATAATTAATTTGAAAAAAGAATTGAATTGAATTGAATTATCTTGCTATATGTTAATATAAAAACTTAATTATTTATCTTTACATCAAATAAAATAATTTATTTTATTTAAATTTTTAATTATCTCATTTCAAGTGTTGAATATTTAAATTTAATAATCATTTTATTTTCGAAGGATAAAAAAATCGATCTGACATTTTACTTTAGCTTTTTATGTTTATTGACTCTTACCAATTATTTTTCTCTCTCTTTAAATTCGTAAATATTTCTTATTTATTTGTTCTAATTATTGACTGTAGTTTTGAAATATTATATAAAAATATGAAACAAATATTATTTAAGTGAAAGGTAGTTCACATATAATATAGAAATGTGAAATAAACCATTGAATAAATTATTCATCATTGACAATGCCAAACTTGAAAGTGGAGGTGCTAGAGCCTCTTGTGTCTGATCACTCACCACTGAAACTAATGATCACTCAAGTACAGGGAAAGAAGAACAGACCATTCAGATTTTTCAACTGTATAGCTGATCATCCCCAATTCATACAGAAAGTGAAGCTAGCTTGGGAAGAAAGGGGTACAAGAGGGAAGATGCAGGCAGTCTGGAATAACCTCAAAAAGACAAAGGAGGTCATCAAAGAAATAAACATACAACACTATAAAGAGGTTGATGAAAGGATTAAAGAGACCAGGAAGTAGTTGCATATAGTACAAGAGGAAATGAGTTATAGACTACAGAACATAGAGCTAATTGAGAAGCAAAAAGCCTTGAAATGTGAATTAGAAAAATGGGTAATGATTGAAGAGAGTATATACAAGCAAAGATCTAGAGTTCAATGGCTGAAGCCGGGGGATTCAAACTCAGCCTATTTCTTTGCACAGATGAAGAATAGGAGTTTGAATGGAATCCAAATTCTAACAAATGACATGGGAACTCAACTAGTGATGGAGGATGATATAGAAGCAGAAATATTGGGATATTATAAGAAACTGCTGGGGTCAAGAGCAGACAACATTCCAGCCATTAACCCAAATGTCATGAAACTGGGAGCAGTATTAAATAGAGATCAGCAGTTACAGCTTATCAAGCCAGTGACTAAGGAAGAAGTATAGGAAGCATTGAAGGAAATCAGTGATTTAAAAGCCCCTGGATATGATGGTTTTAATGCAGTATTTTTCAAGAAATACTGGCAAATTATAGGAGAGAATGTGACACAGGCTGTATTGGAATTCTTTGAAACAACTCAAATGTATAGATCTATCAACTGTACAGCTATTACCTTAGTCCCTAAAGTCAGGAATCCTGCTAGCATTAAAGAAGACCTATCTCCTGTTGTACTGTGCTATACAAAGTGATTTCTATGGTCTTAACTAAGAGGATGCAATGAGTAATGGATACACTGATTGATAGTACACAGTCTGCATTTGTTCCTGGCAGAGTAATCACAGATAACATCATCCTTAGCCATGAACTTGTGAAAGGATATGGAAGGAAAGGGGTATCTGTAACGACCCGACCGGTCGTTTAGAGCTTTTGCACTTCGCTCGCCAGTTCTCGGGAATGACTGGCCCCGTGTGATGTATTATTACTATGTAAATCATCGGTTTTAGTTTTCAGGATAATCGGAACAGATTTGTAAGAAAAAATTCTCAGTTTGAAGTTTTAAGTTTGAAAGTTTTGACCAAGTTTTGACTTTTTAGTATTCGATCTCGGATTGGAATTTTTATGATTTGGTTAGCTCCGTTAGGTGATTTGGGACTTAGGAGCGTGATCGGAATGTGTTTTGGAGGTCCGGAGTAGATTTAGGCTAGAATTGGCGAAATTAGAATTTTGGCGTTTTTCGGTTGATAGGTGAGATTTTGATATAGGGGTCAGAATGAAATTCCGGAAACTGAAGTAGGTCCATTGTGTCATTTTTGACGTGTGTGCAAAATTTCAGGTCATTCGGACGAGGTTTGATAGACTTTTTGACCGAATTCGGATTCGGAAGTTTTGGAATTCTTAGGCTTGAATCCGAGGGTGATTCGATATTTTGATGTTGTTTTGAGCATTTCGAAGGTTGGAACAAGTTCGAATGATGTTATGGGGTGTGTTGGCATGTTTGGTCGGGGTCCCATGAGGCTCGGATAAGTTTTGGAAGAGTTTTTGGAAGATTTTGGCATTTTGAGCATAAGCATGTAATGATCCAAAGGTCCATTTTTAGTTCTAGAGATCGAAATTTGATTTCGAGACTACCGGGATTTTGATAATGATTTATAGGAGTGATCTGGAAAGTTTGGTCTAATTTCATCAAGTCGCGATTGGGTTTTTGACGCGAATCATGAGTTAATTATTTAACGAGCAAAATGGGTATCGCACTGAGCAAATGAGCTCCGAATTGAGTTTCGATTTAAGGACTATGTTCGTATTATTATTTGTGACTCATAGGAACAAGAATCATCCAATTCCGAGTTCGTATGCGCGAACGAGCGCTCAGTACCAGATGTGCATCGATAGCTTGTGATTCCCTGATCGACGGGCGAGATGTGATCTCTGTGTGTTGATGTTGGGCCAGTCTGGAGGACTTGAGGCCGGGATTTTTGCCTATAGCTTGAGCCTTGGAGCTGTTGAATGCGCGAGCGCGTGTTTCTGGATCTATATGTTCGATTGTGTTATTAAGGGAAGTGATGACTGGATAGTTACGTGATGAGTGTGATGTGACTATGAGATGTGTTCACATTAACTGAATGAGACGAGAAGGGTCTGCTGGAGGATAGAAGAACTATTTGGTGTTTGATTTCCGTCGTGATTTGATGTATAGCCCCGAGTTGTGGGTGTGATGAAGGATTTTTTCATGTTGCCTCGTTGGGAAGTGAAGTAGATTCCACGTTGTGATATGAGTTCAGACTCAGGAAGATTAAGTGATTGCGTAATATTTATGACGGTGGAAGGGTATAAAGAGATGATAGTTCGAGGCGAAGCAGGTGGGTTATCTCCTGCGGAGTGTTCTGAAGTTTGTGTGATCCTTATGTTGTTGTTGGAAGATCCCCTCCACCAGTGAAGTATACATGTTGCAATTTGAATTTTGATCGCTTAAGAGAGTGGGCTTGACTGTTATGAGGGTGAATACGAGATTTGCATAAGATTTGAAGTACTAGATGGTCTGTGTTGCACGAGCTTATGAAGGATTGAGTTTAATCTCACTATGGTATTATGGCAGTAATAAAGTATATGCATTATGAGTTATTGTGTGTTTTCTTCTATGGCTTTGAGCCATGTGGGGGAGTCTGCTATTGATTAATTGATTGCACGATTATGTGCTATGTTGGTTCCAGTTTGGGGCGTACTGGTGAATCAGTTATGGCTCACAGAGGTTGAGGTCGAGGATGACCCGAACAAAGGAAATTTTTGATAAGGGTGGTGTTATTCTTTATGGGTGTATGAGAATCATGGGATGACTTGAGTTGTTATTGGTTAGGGATGTACGGAGCATAGAACATGAAGTTGCTTGGTTGCATTAAGCTGAGGTTACGCTCTGCGGTGTTGGAGTGCTATTGGAGCACAGGTCATCCGGTCCGTTAATCGGTCTAATTGCGATTTGAGTAGAGTGGATAACTCTCGAGAATGGTTCTAATGGGTTCAAGATTTTACATGTAATAATTGGAGATTTTCAAGTTGTATATTTGGCTAGGAGCTGAGATTTGTATTGGAGGGTGTCAAGACTCGTGGTATTTCTATATCTTTATGGGATTCTATATATCAGTATCAGGAAGGTAAAGGTAATGGCTTTGGATTCGCAGAAAGTCCCTTCAGGGTAGGTATTTTGAATGTGGTCCTTTTGGGAATATTTAAGAGAGTATTCAGCGGCTTGTGAGCCTTAGACGGTGTGGTTTTATGCTTGGGTCTCGTATGGTGAGTATGTGTTGAGGAATTGTGGTGTTATATCAAGAAAGAGTATCAAGTTAAAGGTAAATAAAAAGGAAACTCGGATAGATGGGATCGCTTGGTAGTAGGCCGGATTGGCATGGTAATGGATATGATCGGTTCTTGAGTGCTTATGAAGCGGTGGGTTTGCACAGGTGTTTCGCGGCAATACTCTTAGGTTTTGATTGCTTGTGTAGCTTGGTTGAGTTAGAAGGAGTTAGTTCTGATGGTTCGGTTTTGTGCAAAAGGGGATTCGTAGAGTTCTTGATAATTTCTACCATGGTTAGAGATGTATAATTTCTGCTAGCATGAGGAGCATGGAATGTATAGTAATTTTCTCCTAGATGGGATCAAATGGAAAGTTCTTGACTAGTTGAGTATGTATTTGATTGTGGCTCGAAAGGGATTATGAAGTTCTCATATTTATCATAGGATGGCATGGTATATGTGGTATGTTGTGTAGGGTTGAGATTGGCATGGTTAAGGTCACAGTTCAGTTCTGAAAGGAAGATCATAAATTCTTAGACAGCACGACAGTTTCAGATGACTAGGTAAATTATATTACTAAATGGTATGTCTTGATAAGGGTATAGACTTTAGAAAAAGGGCACTGTGTTTGAATTAAGGATGCTTCATTAGTATTGTGGCACTCTCTTATTGGATCAACTGTCGATATTCAAGTTGGCTTGGTAGCACAGAAGAATTATAGGAGTATCCCTCATGGAATGATCGAGTATCAGATGTGTGTTAGATGTTCGGGCAGTGTAGCTAGGATCAGATATGGTGATTCGTGTGCTTTATGGATTGGGAGACTGAGAGTTTCCGTGATTAGATGGCTTTGTGGTTGTGGACTGTGAGAAAATAGCTAAGGTTGGTCAGAGGGTAGCATTATGATTCAGTCATTGTGAACCTTCAAAGAGTTAATTATCTATTGTGGGTGACCGGAGTTGATTTGGGGTTCATTGGTAGGTCCAACATGGATGCACCTGGTCAGATTTGTTTACTCCGAACTACTATTGTTGAGAGATGTGCCATTCGATTGTTGTTGAGCTTATTCGTGATCTATGAGTTACTCTCCTATGTTACAAGGAGTTGAGATTTGGTGGTTATATGCACAAATGGTGCGATTTCAGTTGGGCTTTATAGCGGGATTTGAATGAGACAGGTATTTGGGTGTTGCATGATTTGTTGCACATTGGATATGTTCCTTCGGACTGGTGTGGCATTGCGTCATTTGCTTCTTCATGGTTATGGTGATTCACTTTTGGGTTCTAGGCATCAAGTTGGCTTGGTTGATGATTTTGGGCATGGTGACTTGAGGTGTTTCATGCGGACCAGTGTTTGGATAGGGTCGCGTATTTCAGCGAAGTTACGTGGAGGCATGATCCTTCGGGCTAGATTCGTGTGTTCTGTTTCTACGAGGTGCGACGGGCTCGCAGCATTTGGTGTGGTGGTACTGGTGAGCTTGCGGTGCAGCTCTCTCATTTGAGTCATTTTCATGATTTGAGTATGTTCGTGTTGTTGCTTATTGGTGCACGGGTTGCACGAGTTGCGGCTTTAGATCGTATTGATGTGTCATATCACCAGAGTAGTTGTGTTGGATTAGATTAGATCGTTGGGATCTAGAATAAATACAAACGGATTCGGTTTTAGTATGTTGGAAGGATAATATCGATGTTCGGCTCAGAAATTTGCTATGGTCCTTGCTAAAGGAGAAGTGGCTTCACGAATGGTTGATCTGAAGAGTGGTTATGAATTCTTATGTGTTTCATTTATCAATGGCAGTATACGAAAGTGTTAGAATGAGGCTTTATTTGATAAGAGGTTTATTATCGATATTCAGTTGTTCTAAGCAACTGCCGCGATCAGAAGTTATCGCTACAAGAGTTTGAGCTATGTGGTATATCATGTAATTGCATCCGAGGTTGCAGGTATGGCTTGTTACAGCTGGGCTTATTCAGATTATAAATGTGAGATTCTAATCTTGTAGATGATTTTGAGAAGTGGAAATATGGTTCTAAGGTTTATGTGCTAGGTTGGATTGCGAAATTTCAGTTACATTGTGTTATCGGACCTATATGAGATAGGGTGACGTGGGATCACCCCGGGTATGTGCATGGTAAGGTTACACAGCGATTTGATGGTCTTCGGAACAACTCTGGGCACGTTCGAGGACGAACGTATGTTTAGGTGGGGGAGGATGTAGCGACCCGACCGGTCGTTTTGAGCTTTTGCACTTCGCTCGCCAGTTCTCGGGAATGACTGGCCCCGTGTGATGTATTATGACTATGTAAATTATCGGTTTTAGTTTTCAGGATAATCGGAATAGATTTGAAAGAAAAAATTCTCAGTTTGAAGCTTTAAGTTTGAAAGGTTTGGCCAAGTTTTGACTTTTTAGTATTCGATATCGGATTGGAATTTTTATGATTTGGTTAGCTCCATTAGGTGATGT